CAAAGCTACAGTTGTAGCTTCCTGATTTGGTTTTGCATATGATTCAGGCCATTTAGTGAAATAATTCATCACCACACAAATGTACTTGTTTTCAGCACGAGTTTGGGGTAACGGACCAGCAATATCAATGGCTACTCTTTCCATTGGTGCACCAACTTGATATAACTTCATTGGAGCACGTCCCTTATGCTTGGGTCCCCTTTTAGCAAAACATGTACTGCAGGACCTGCACTATTCTTCCACATCTTGCTTCATACTTATCCAGTTGCTACTGGTACTGGTTGTTTTGCCACTGCTGTAGTCTCTCTTCTTCTTCATTTTCTTTCTCCTCCAACCACTGCTGTAGTCTCTCTTCTTGTTTATTTTCTCGTTCTTCTTGTTTCTTTTCTTTTTTCTCCAACAACTGCTGAAATCTCTCATGTTCTTTCTTTTCTTTTCCTACAACAACTGTTGTAATCTCTCTTCTTGTTTCTTTTGCTGTTCTTGTATTGCTGCCATCAAATCTACTAAGTCGTAGTTTGATTTGCCATTTCTCGTTTCCATCTTCTTTTTCTTTCTTTTCAGTCCCACTCTCTGACACCAAATTGTTATGTACCTGCTTGTTTGTTAATTTCTCATAGAAATTCTTTCCAAGAAACTTCAGCAATACAAGTCCATTCTTGGTTAAACCAGTTTATTCTTCCTCGATACAAACTTTTAGCACACAGTAATTTCACAATCTCGATAACAAAATACACACTAGCTCGAAACAGAATCGTATATTACCAGGAACTCTCTTCATTCAATCATCCCACAGGCTTTCTCTGCCAGGCTTATATATTAAAAAAGAGGGTGTCTTGAACACATTAAAAAATTCATGATAATTCGAGAAATTTCACATACGCTACCATCGCCAAACTCGCCAGCAGCATCACGTGACTTTTGCTGTTGTAACAATATTATGCATCAAAGAATATAAATTACCTTAAAAAAAAATAGAAATGAAAATGCAAAGTTTGGTTGCCAGCTTTCTCAAACATATGTACACAACAACTAATATCTACCATAAGCGAACAATAACACAGATGAGAGCATCATATCAAAATATGCATCTAGAAAAAGACTTACACTTTCATGTCCAAAAATATTTTTCAGCTCCTCAGTGGCCAATAAATCTTTCAACATGGCAGGTACTTGATTCTGTTTTAAAAGCAGCACCTAAAAAAGAGAATACTCATGCATGATAAACACTTAAATAATACAGGTTATTGTATGACAGCAATCAATAAGTGTATAAATAAGTTACAATTAGGTTCAAAACAAAAAGAAATTTACAGTTTTCTTGTCAAATATGTTATTTCTTATTATTTCCATTCAGTCAGGTTAATATCAAATGTTTGGTTGGGTATGTGCAGGTCAAATTAAAGGAAACAGCAAAAGTTAACATTTTCTGTATTTCCAATAGGCACTTACCTCCTCTTGCCCAAAGCTATCTCAATCTTGGACTGCCTTCTAAGCCTTGCTAAAAATTTTTTTTGCTAACAGTGCACAAGTCTTTTATACCCCATCAGTTTCAGGTAATTTCAGAACATGTGCTGATCATGTGACTACCCTTCACCAATCATAATGTGCCCTCTATACTAGTGTAACTAATTCCTTCTAATCCTCGGTTTTGGGAATTTTCCAGTACAAACCAGAAACACCAGCATATCAGTGGGGAGGAAGGGTTGGGAAGTTGGTGAGAGGTGGTAAATAGCTATCAGAAATACAATTTTAGCGTAAGAAAATGTTAACTTTCAAAATGGTCTTACCTCCTCTATTCCAAAGCACATTACAAAGTTGAAGGGGCCAGTGAAGGCGCATCAATATCGAATCAGGTGTGCAAGAATATGAAAAGAAAGCATACCTGTGGGGTATAGCACTACATGTGTAACAGGAATGCTCTTCACCCAGTAATTAACACAGGAACAAAAAGAGAGCAAAACTAAATTGGCAGGCACCAATACATTCAGAAAAGAGATGTACAGCCTTGAATCAATGGAAACGTGCTGTAGAAACATGACTTCAAACAGCACAGCATTAACAAACATGGAAAGCCAAGTGTGGAAGTGATAATGAGCTTGTATAAACATATGCCAGGGTAGAGTCTTGAGATACATCAGAGTATGTCAAGTGCGATCCATCCTGGCAAAAAATCCATTGAAAATGCCTTGTATAAGATATTTAGATCAACAAGTGAGGCCCTCCTGGGCAAGAAACATCCAGGGGAAGTGCCTTGGATATGTAATATGAAGAAAAAGAAATTACAGACAAGAGTGTGATCTTGAGGGTTTTCATAACTAGCTCCTTGGCAACAGTCATGACATATTTTGTCCACATATGCAGCAGGCCATATTACTGAACACAGGGATAGTAACCAATGGTATGGTAAAAGTGAAAATGAAATAACTAAAGATCACTAGGGCTGAAGAACCATGGATTGTATATGAATAGGTGAAGTGCTTCCAAGGAAGCCCACATTCCCAAATGAGAGAGAGAGAGAACCCCTCACATAGTGAGAAAAGGAAAAGGTAGGGCCATTGAGACTGCTCGCACTGTATCCCCGAGCCAAAGTGGAGAAGGCTGGGCCTGATGAAGATGGGAATGGAACACAAACCTCCAATGGAATAAGAGATTAAGTGGGGTTAAGAATGGACCTCTCCAACTGAATAAAAAAAAAACACCCAAATAGCTTCCTGAAGAAGTAAGCAGCAAGTGTGATTGACTGACTGGGCATAGGAAGAGGTGAATAGAAGCCAGTCATCCATGAAAAGAAAAGTTTGAAGACCCAACGTGTAAAAAGTGACTGAAAAAAGATCATACAACTTGAGAAAACACACGGAGATAAAGAAGAACCGATTGGCAGCACCTAGAACTGGAAGACATGACCCACATGGATGAACCCACCTAAGATAGGCATAAGCCTTAAATTCCTGGTAACTTACATGACATAAAAGCAGTCATTAGATTAACTATCAGTATGGATCATACCAGCCATAAATGATATTACATCTCCCACCTCTAATGGACTTAAAACCTCAATTTTGCATTTGAGGATGAAGAAAAACAACTGTTTTTGAGTGTCCCTGCTTGCCTACCAAGGCCCTTTGGGCTGATTTGATTTAAAACCTTAATTACTGCCCAGATTAGATAGATAGTGAAAAATTTTTAGCAATACTTAGAGAGCAGTCTAGGATCAAGATAGCTTTGGGTGAGAGCAGGTAAGACCGTTTGGAAATTCACTGATTTTTTTGATTCAGCGTTAATATTTTATAAAGACTGAAAGAAATTTTAAAAATTAAGGTTATAAATCTTGATAATGTAACTAATACAAATATCATTTAACCTAAAGTACCATCACTCTCTAAAATCAATGACTCGCAATAGATAAAGTTTAAGCCCTCAACCCAGCAATATTCCTCTTGGCAACAAAAGTGTCTTGTTATGTAAACTGAAGCATTTCTCTGGCTCTTGAACTCATATACACACATACATATCTGGTTTCTCATAATACTAGTAATTACAATGAATTACCTTAGGAAGAAAAGGAATATCAAAACTATCCATTTGATGAAGAATATGTTTTCAACAGTAGTGAAACAATAGGAGCTGTCAACAAACAAGTATATCATCTGTATTACAGCTACTTAGCCACAAGTTCACTTTACGTACTGAACTACTTAACAAGCTCACAAATTGGATGAATAGCATGTTAGATATACAAGAGTGCTCATTCTCAGTTTAATACAAGAGTGTTATTTAGTTTATATTGTGTGAGTGTTAAAGTAAGTTATTTTAAGAAGTGATAGTTATGGCCAGTTTGCTTTTGTAACTGTTTAAGAATCATTTGTTGTGTAATTCATTGTTGTGAATTGATGTCATGTTACTCGAACCTTCTGAATTTTTCTCATTGCTTTAAGCGAGTATTGTTACATCATAATGTCTCGCAGTTTGTAGTTTCTAGACCTCAGTCAGGTGATATATATAGAGGCAACCAGGTTAGTGCAAGTAAGTTAAGTTAGTAAGTGACTGAGATATAGATTTATCTTGACTGTGTGAGTTCAGCCCTAATAGGTGATTTCTAAATTGAGTTTCACAGTTTATATTGTAATAAAACAGACAGAGGAGAATAATGAGTTTTGTCAAAGAATGCTCTCAAGTAATTGAGCTCACCTGTGTGAACTTGGACGAAAAAAAAAGACAATTATTTAAAACTCTGGATACAACTGTGATAACCAATAGTGTAACATATTTTTGTATATATGTTTGACTTGTTAGGAATATATTGTTTTAAAACAAGTGGATTGTGTGCTGTCTGTTTATTGTTGAAATTTATCACCAACAAGTTACAGAAACCTACTGTAAATAATCTGGTCCTCTATATAAACCTGACATAGCAGCTTTTGTAGAACTAACAGAGGTACAGGAAAACTAAGTTGCTAGAGGAACATAACTAAAGCAAAGCAAAGCTGCAAGCAAACTAGCCCACCAAGTGGAGAAATAATGCAGCCAATATATAAATACACAGCAATTAGCAGGGATCTGTTAGCTTAAATGTATAAAACTGTGACAATAGCAGTTACTGGAAAATCAAAACAGCTGTTTGACCCAACTATAACAGTCATTGACAAACTAGTCAACATACTAAGTTGATAAACCCACAACATAAATGAAAAATCTAACAATTTAATAAAAATTACTTGGAAAGCATTTACTTCATTTAAAGTGAAGAAATTCTTCACAGTCCTAAAGTTTTGTTTCAAACCATATAAAAACCTTCATATAAACACTAACTACTACTCACATTTCCAAGAGCCCTCTCAAGGTAAGCAGTAAGTATTAACAGTGCTAGAGGTACTGAGCAGCTACTTTCTGAGTCTCTGAGAAGCTTAAAGCACTCAAGAAAAACCTGAAATATATAAGACACAGATGAAGGTAAGTTAAAAATATTGAACATTTATATCTGGGGAAGTGAGAATTATAGATACAATCATAGCACAATGCTATCTGTAAAGAAATCTTAGAGGAGATGCTTTAATAAATATAAACTTTTTATCAGCATATTTAGTAAATAATTTGAAATATTTTAAATGCCAGTCTTGGTGAGATGAAGAAAGTTAAGAATTTAAGACACACTTATTATACTTATAATTTTCTAAAATCTACAGGTATTATTATTATACACAGAAGTAAAATCTTGTTTTGTATAGCAAAATAAAAAATATTTTAAATAAAGTTTTATCAGAAATAGTTTGAAAAGTGTTTGAAGAGCTATAAAGTTCTGGTTTTCAAAGTTCTGAACATCTGTCCATAATAACTATATGTAGGTTAGTAGTTTTTACTGAAAGAATACCTCCAACACTTGTCCTAGTTCAAATAAAAATTATGACTAGAATAAAATAATTTTAAAACAAGGTTATGAATAATAATGTTATTCTAAAACTTTAAATACACTACTGCCTGAAAGTGTGGTACTCTCAAATACACCAATTTCCTCAAAGTAAATGGGTAGGACTACAAAAATAGAAGATTTGTTGAATACTATATCACAGAGTAAAAGATTGACTTTTCCTGACTTTGATACAAAAAAAAAGACTTAGTATAAAATTGTACAAATCAGCAATCTTTAATCAGAAAACAAAATCAAAGTTAAACTTAAACACAGGCGAGTGTTTCATGTGGTGTGAAGAACTGGAGAAGGACCTTTAAAAAGTCTCTCTCAACAATTCAGGTTTGCAGTTAAGATGTAAACCAAAAAAGTGTACACAAGTGTAAAACACAAAAAAGACTAAATAAAATGGTTAAGTTCAAAGTTAATCTCTGACCACTAAAAAAATTCACAATTTGTAAACAAAGAGAACAAAAATTGATCTACTGAAAATCTATCTGAAAACTAACTACACTTTCAGCTGAAATTGTATCTAATCCAAGGTAATATCAATTTACAAAAACAAAGCTGTCTAAAGCAAATAAAATGCAGTAATATATATATTGTTCTCTTTATCTAGGTGCAAATGTTATCTATGACTGAGGGTCACTCTCAAGCCAACAAGGGGATGTGAAGCCCTCAAGACATCACTCTGTTTACTGCAAGAAATGATCACTGTCACTACCTTTAATGTTTCACTCTACACTAATTTTTTTCAATGAGGAGCACAGTGACTTTTTTGGTGACTTAACCTCTCATGTAAAAACTAAAATGATAGAAATTTAATGGATCTTTTTTGATCGATGTTATAAAAAACATCAACACAAAATATACTGAAACTTGAAAAATGTATCTACTAACTAAAGGGTAGGAAACATAAGGTAGTTTATTTATCACAAAAGCTAATTATAATCCTAAAATAATTAAATATTTTTAAATCTATAATATACAGACTTGATAAAACCTTGAAGGTTAAAGGTAGCTTGAGTTTCGTAAAATCGTAACTGCTATATTTGATATGACCAGACTGATGGTCAGAACCATTACATTCTTTTGCAACAAATTATTTTTACTTTTACAAATAAAAAATTTAAGCATTTGAATGATTCCAGTCATTTTCTTGAGGTATATACTATATGTAAACATTAACCATTTATGTGCAATTCTTACTTTTTTGTAATGTGTCCACTCTATCCACATGTCTATATCACAAAACGGAATTTGACTGTATACAAAATGTACGTGATTTAGGACAGGTGAAATTTTGTGAACGGCATCTTGAAACCACACTTCAGTGAAATCACCATCTACAGCAAAAATAATTTGTGGATATTCATCAATGATTTCTTATATAATATTGAAACTATGTATTTATTTTTTGTGAATAAAAATTGAAAGTTTTATTTAACTGCAAGATATTTAACAGTATGCATAGATATTGAAGTATACTTCTGACAATACTAAAATACATAAATGTATATAGAAGAATAGTAACAGCAAATACCAGCTGAAATACAATCTCTAAATACAAATACAATATCCAAGTACAAGCATATAGAATATCATCATTAGCTATAATGATATACAACCTCACATCAATGCATTTATACTCAAATAGACTTCAGCTGGGTTCGCAAGGTATAAATATTTTTTTTTACTATTTGAATTGAAACTACAGATTATTGATGTAAAAGTTGCATTACAAAAACAAGAGAAAAGTCTAATAATGGGTTTGGTTCAGACTTTCTTCACTTGTTAAATAAAAAACTATAGAATAGTAATTTATTCTTTCATTATGGTAAGGTATGTCACGAAATGAATTAAATTAAGTAAAAAGAGGGTAAAATAAAATTATTAAATAAGAAATTTTAAACATTCAAAATTTTGTGTTATAGAAACTAAATAAAAAAAATCATACACAGATTCCATATATTGATGCTTGTCTCAGAATAAGCTTCACCATTAAAATCATTCACCTAATCTGTATCAGGTAACATCAATAACTCAACAAACTGTGTACTATTTAGTATCGACAGTACAGTTAGTTAAAAGCCTGGTAATTATTTCTTCTACTTTATACATTTTGTGGTTAAGTTCTTATTTTCTTCCAATTAACAATTTTACCTTTATAACCAGTTTAAAAATTTCACATTCTTTATGATTTAGTATCACTCACAGAATGGTTAATCATGACTTGTAAATTTGTGTCTGATTATCACACTTTGTTTTTCAAATATTATTTATAAGATCAGATTATAAGCCTATATTCCACTTCATTATTCTATCTTCTTCTTCTTGACTAATGTTATAACATTTAAACAGAAAAGAAATATATGATGGATGATGAATGTCACTTTGTCTTCTTCCAAGCTTAATTTAGTAATCCCACAAACTTGTGTTAAAACCTTTATTCCTGATACACCTTGTAAATCCAAAATATTTGAATGTTGCTCTACAAATAATAAATCTATTTAAACAAATCTAAAGCCTTGTCATAATCTATTTCTGCTACCATTCATCTGTTCTCTTTCCATTAATCTTGTATTTGTTTCAATGATTTTGTATTTAATTATTGTTATGGTCAAATTAAGTAACAAAGAATTTTATGAGTCTCAATACATATATTTTGAAATTATTATTATGCCTCTATTTAGAAAAGTTATTGTTCATCAAATACATTGAAACAAGATTAATAAAAATTGTTAATTTAAAAAGGGGAATAGGGATAATCAAAAAAAGTACATAAACAAGTTGAATCAAAATGCAAAGATTATATTTTCAAGCCTATAGCCAAGGATTCTAAAAAAAGTAAACAAATAAATCTGAATATTTTCTCAAGGAAGTTGGAGCTGGAGAAGCTGTGGAAACCACAGCTATAAGAAAGAGCTATCAGAAGAACTGAACATGGAGTTCAAGGATGAACAAAATCACCTGGAGGAGAGGAGAACAGGAAAATAGACAAGTGTATAGGTCCAATCCTATCTGAAAACATCGACAGCCAGAGCAAAATGAGGAACCGGAGACCAAAACCAAGGCAAATTGTGGTTAAGGGATGTAGTAAAAGCTTTAGTGTGAAGAATACCCCATTGAAGTCAAAGCTACTGGAAAACATGAAGATCAAGAGACCACTCCATTGGATAAATGTTGTCTAGAGAGAAATCCGATCCAAAACAAGAGCAAAAGCACCTGGAACATGAAATACAATGATAGGAATATCGAGTGAGTGGGCCAAAAAAGAAGATCCAACTTATGAATAAAGAGGGATGAAGAACAGGTGCTGCCCTGATGATTGAAATAAGCAACCACTGAAGAAAAGTGGGAATGGATCATTACCAGACGATTTCTGGCCAGATAGAGAAAATGAACCAAAACATGACCTACAGCAAGAAGCTCCAGGTCATTGATAGGATAAGACCTCTCAGCCACAGACAAAACCCCCCAAATCTACCAGTTTATCAACTCACACCCCATACCCGAAGGGATGCATCCATGAAATGTGAAGTACTGGAAGAGGAGGAGGAAGAGGGACACCTGCTGATGTGTGAGTCATATCTAACCACCAACACTGATCAACGACAAGGGTAGAAGTAAAGGTAATAAGAGCCAACAAAGGATCCCTGCAAAATTTTACTGGTCATGAAACTTCAACGAAAATGCCCACATATGAGCCTGACCTAAGGAGATAAGGGCTACCACGGAAGATCACATCCCCAAAAGCGATAGAACATCGTGAGCTGTAATCAAACTCAAAATCAATTGAATGAAGTCGAAGAGGAGAAGGGCAGGCCCGAATGAGATATGTGTAGAAAAAGAAAATCACCCAAATGAACAATATATTGGGTGAGTCACAGTAACGACTTCTCCTACTTGACTAACAGCCCATTAAGAGCTGCTGATAAAGGTAACAGGCAAACTCCTGTTCGTAATGAGTGAACAGTAGCCAGTCGATAAATAAAAGGGCAAAGTGCAACCCAAGAGCATATAAGTAATGAATAAATGCTCTGAATGCTTGACAAAACATACAGGGCTGAAGCAAGTCCAAAGGTCAATGCACAAAACAGAGAAACCACCCTATGGAGAATAAACTGAAGTGAGCATCGATAGTGATGAAATATCAAGATATGCAAAAAATATTTGCAATATTCTTCTTTGTCATCAATAAACCTGGAGAAAAAGCCCACCTAAGGGCAGATTAGAAATTGGAAAGAGGTGGAATAAACCTAGTACAGGCTGCCTTGCACGTGGACCACAAACAGCCTGGAGAAAGATGATAAACAGGTGCAATGGCATGTAGAGACAGAAAATCTTGTACTGCCATGGACAGATGCAGGCTGATGGCAGGATCCCAAGTCATGGGGAAAGAAAAGGATATGAGGGACAAAGGAGGCGAAGAAGGAAATAGTTGGCCAAATCCCTCTGATAAAACCGAAAGAACTCATGGAACTGTAGTGAAAGACTGCCAAAGAGTAACAATATAATATAGTCAAGCTCTCACTGGACCAGAACTCTTTGGTTAGTTTCCAGTTCTGTTGGCAACATGTCCATCAATGTTGAATAAAATGATATTATGAGGAACCCCTGGAAGAGGACAGTGATGGGTAGACAAGGACAGGAAAGGAATAGAGGTGTGTTGTAACTGCAACAAACATGCAACCAAAGAGGAAAGGATCAAGTGTTGATGCATACATTACACACGAGATTCCAAAGTCAAACATACATGATCAAAAACATATCACCAAAGAAAAAATCCAGAAATCCAGGGACAAGGTTGCATTGTGACCCAGAAAATCTCAACTACAGTGAAACTACGTGTGTAAGGTGAGAGCCGAAGATGACAAATGAGCCAACATGGAGGTAACAAGGAATCATAGAAGAATAGGAAATTAGATGAAACCCAACATACCTGAGAAATCATGTCAAAAAATGGCATATTAGGCCTAACTGATTCTGCAGGAGGGGTAGGAAAAAATATGGCAAAATCTGGTGTTGTAAAAAGGCTATCAAATCTTCATTGGCCTGAACAGGTTTGGCTTGTTCAGGAGGATTAGTGGGGTAAGTTCAGGAGAAGAAGATTTACCCATACAACAATTAATCTCACGATGGATAATAGCAGAGAAATCTTATGACCGGTCTCCCCTACCTGCAACCTGTGAAAATAGTGCTAGAGGTATAACACCCAAAATGGGAACATGAACCTCAGAATTCATGGTAGAAATATGTAAATCAAGCAAAAGTGTTTGACGTACAGTATGTGAGTGTGAGAAAAAAATAAAGACTGAAAGATTAAGTTAAATTAAAATATTTCTTCAATGTAATGAAAATAATAATAATGAAGAGATTCCACTTCAGAAATTAAAATCATGATTCACACAAAAAAGCACCAAAAGAAAAAATGTCTGAACACGAGTACTGCCAAACGAGAAGTGATAGTTTGGTAGAACTGAATAGAGAGAGTCACATATGTCATGAGAGTATGTCGCACTCTTATCGGTGGAGGGTTGATGCATAATGATTTGCATGTGAAATGCATTGGAATCAGTCAGATCCAATGGAGGAGGATAGGAGGTTTGTGGCATGCATAAACAATTTTTTACATATAGAAGGCAGCACTGAACGAGAATATCTATTTATGTGTGTTGAGGTAATGTATTTTATCGGAATTATTGAGGTCAATATTAAGTTTAAAACTACTCTTTCAGTTTTTGCAAAATTCATGTGCGATCCCACACTACAATAGACATCATTTGTAATAATTTTATATTGGAGTCATAATAGGGATTTGTAGCTTGAGCAAACCATCTGCAGTAGATCTCTAGCCTTGTGTGCTTACTTTTCTTGTGACTCCTATTTGTATATTCTGAATTCTCAGTTATTAATTATTTTGTATGTTGGCTTTTTTAATGCACAGCAATGGACAAATATATGCCTATTGTAGAGTAAGACACTACCCCTACTAAGCACATATAAAATTTTATCAGTAGAAAAGCAGCCTTTTCAGTTAAAAGAAATACATCTAAAACATCACTTTAAATAAAGCTTCATGTCTTTTGAAGTAATTATTTACTGAGCCAGTTGGCTCTGTGCCTGAGGTTTCATGTAAACATGTGTTTAACCTATGTTAAGTAAAAAAGCAGCCACTCAGAATAACATTGCATCTATTATGTATTTATAACCATGTAAATCAACTTTCAATGAAAAAGAATCAACTTTTAAATAGGTTATGGACATTTGCAGCACTTCATATAGTATATCTGTCCATCTTTTGGTGCAAAATACCTGGCCGATTTTACTGTAGGTTTGTGAAACAATAATAATAATAATATGAACAAATGGGAAAATTTTTATTTTGACTACAGTAGTCAAATCACTTATTTTGTTTATTATCAACGTTTGGATAGTCTTAACTACTGAAAAGGATGGTTAGAGAATAATTCTACTTTTTAAGGCAGTTTTTGCCCAAATGTTCTATTAGAGTTTTGAGCAAGTTCCTGTGCAATCCCTATTATAAGACACTATTGTGGTTCATGATATACTTAATCCAATATGTTCTACATGCATCATACTCAGTTGCAAAAATGCTTTAAATTAACTAGGTTCTAATTTATTTTGAAATGTTTTTTTAGAACTAACAAAGTAATTTGTATTTCATTTTTACAGTAACGTTCTTCATGTTTCTTCATCAGTATGACAATTAAGCTGGTTAGAAAACTTAGCAAAAAGATATTTCACTGAGAATAGTTGACATCTTGAAAATGATAAATTCTTCACATGAATATAATTATTCCGTTTCAATATATCTTTTACATTAATACTAATAATATTCTGCTGTTCATTCTATATATCTAATAAATTAATAATCAACTTCAAAAACATAATTTCAATGACTTGCAAAATGATATTTTTCTATGTCTATATATCATTGAACTATATGCCTTAGCATAAAGCTTTCTGTTATATGATCATAATTAATAACTCTTAAATTATTCCACATTTGTAAAATGTATGTCATTAGCACAATTTCTCTAACTCAAAGTTTTTTCCTCATGTTTGTAACAACATTCACACTTGCCTTAAATTTTTCGTCATTCAATCTACATCTAAGTTATCTTTTTGCAGGTTTGAATGTTTCGTTATGAAAATATTTTAATCATAAATATATTCAACACTTATTGTCTCACCCTGAACAGAAAGAATTTATTATGTGTGGCATTTCATGATGACAAGATATAATGATTTAAAACATAATTCATAATGCTGCAATTGTTTCGCTTTATTACATAAAAACACTATTATGAGTATCATTCTATTGAAAGCAAAGTATTCAAATCAGCTGTCTTCACATTTTAATTTTTTATGACAAGAAAATTACACATTTTAGTTTGAAAGTTTGTTTAGGCAGTATTCAAACAGTTCGTGGGAAATGAAGTTTTTGTGCAATCTGAAAATGTTAACCAAAAGATTCCGTATTCTTCAGGAAACAAAGACAATATACACATTATTAGTAGTTATAGATTCAGAATGTAAAATTACTTAACTCTGCCACAGAGATGTTCATAAGTTATTAATGAAAGCTTACACAAAACAAATGAATACATCATGGTTTACTTAATCATACCTTTCTATCTTAATGATCTGTTTTTTTCATTATATACCTATAATAAAATAACTTCACGATCTTAAGTTATAAATTTGACACTTCCCATAAATAAACTGATACAAGTTCAAACAGTCACCCAGCAGAGCTGACAATTAGAATATCACAGAAGAATGTCATATTTGCAATATATTATAGCAATCATTAGCTAGTAGCTGAAGAAATTATAAGCATATAAAACCAAGTACCTGGTATTTACTTGTGATGACACAAAATGCTTATATAAAGTCACTGTTCACTCCCACACAGAAAATCACTGCACATAAAGACAATAAAGATCACATTAAAACTTACTTATGTATATTATCAATTAAAATAATGTCTTAATCATGTTCAAATCCAGCCATAACTTAATGTTCCATTTCAATTTTTTCCTTATTTTGCCTAGAGGGCATCATTTTGTACCTTAGTTTCCAAATTGACAAAAACATTGAAAATTATGAAACACCAATAAAAGTACATGTTCCTTATTTTAGAGTCATTCAGTGGCAGCCCTGGTAGGTACTATAAATTTAACCAATTAGTTTGAAAGCTCAATCACTACATTACTGCCACCTACAGCATTAGGTCTTTAGTAATTAGCAGGAAATAATACTGAATGTTTCATTTGTGTAAACAAGAGAGTTGACAAAAGAAATTCATGAAATGAAGTTTTTAAAATGTATAACTATCTAACAGATGTATACTGTAATATGGAAATCATTCCCAAGAGTTATGCAAGTATTTTGACATAATTTACTAGCATAACAGATTATCAGTACCAGTTAGAGCACATTTTACCATTTGCTATATTTCACATGATGCAAAGCCAGTAGTGAAATAATTCAGTACAGTTAAGGCTCCTGCAGCCTCTTAGTTATGTATCAATTTATTTTTGCAGTAATAGAAGCTAAACTTACCATTTAAAGTTGGAAGTACCATTTTCATATGGTTCTGTTCTAATGTGTAGTATGAAGTAAAAGCATCAAAGAACTGATTAGTAATGCAAGCTTCACAAAGAAGTTTTTTAACATATGCTGACAAACAAGAAGTACATGCAATATGCTTTCTTTCCAAAGAACATTCTGTCTCCTTCCATTCTTCCATCATGATTCAGTAATGCTGTCAAATAGAGGTAAATTACATCTTAATGAAAAAAAAATAAATAAAAGTCTACAAAACATATCTATGTCATTTCAATTTTCCAGCTTTTAGTAACAGTAAATATAGCCACAAAGTACTTCTATGTAATGTGTCTAGTTAATATGAAACACTTTTAAAGTAAAACTGTCATATGTACAACAGCTCATCGTAAACTCAGGTAACACAAATTTTAATATAAAGTTTGTCAGTAAGCACACTGACACTTGTAGTAGACCAAATGATAACTTTAAATACACGAGTTTAACATAGTTATGACTAATACTAAAGATAAATAACAATCTTCATTCCAATTAGAGTGAAGGGCCACACAGAGCAGTAGAAAAGATCAGATTTGTAAAGTTTGTGGAAATACTAATTAACTGTACATCAGACAGTAAAATTGTGATATATATATTCAATATCAATGAGTGAAAAGATGCAGCAATCCTTACTTTCTGAGCAACTTAATGGAGTAATGCAACATTCCAGCTGTGTAATAAGAGTAAACTGTAGTTGAAAACAAAAACTGGTTCTATAGGGGAATTGATGACTTCATGAAATTAAAAAGAGGGTTTAGATTTTTATTTTTTCCTTGGGGATGAATGTGCAGGGACAGCTATGATAAATCACATGGTCCCTTGTTGTCTGTATATTATGTTAAATGGATTGTAGAGTGGATAGATCACAGAAAACAAAAGGTTATTATTAGTTGAGTACTATTAAACTGGACCTTTGTTACTAATGGAATGTATTAAAAGTCAGTGCTTGGGCTTTGTCTTATTACCCCCCCCCCAACACACACACCCATAAGTAGGGGTATTGTTTTTATTCCTTTGTGTCTGTGTGAACAGTACAACACAAAAGTTTTGAACTGATACTCAACAGATTTTGTATAAAGATGAGTCTCCCCAAAGAAATAACTGATTCACTTGAAGTTAATGTAGCTAAAAAGTCAAGGTCACACTAAAGGTCAACCACATTGATTATAATAGTAGCAAACTAGAATTAAAAAAAAAAGCCAAAAACTGAGAACCTGGAACTTAGTCTTCCACTTTTGAAGGTAAGGCAGTATTTGTTATGTACATATTTTAGATTGGTTATGGCAAAAATCAAAAACACTATCTGAGTGACTTTTTAGTTTACATCAAATAGTAATGATATTGATAGGGGCATAATTAGTAAAGACTGCTTATGAACTTAAAATCTTGGGTATCTGTAGGGGAATTAAGGATATTTAAATACTATAAAATGACTTGAATCAATTGGTAAGTTGGAAAGATGACCTTTAATTGTGGTATGTGCAAGGAAATACATTCATAATTTGAATCACACATTTGATATAGATAGGAACCCACTAATAGCATGACTGAAGAAAATCTTGTCATAGTGGTGGATATGTCATTTAAACCACTGAAGCACTGTTTTGTTGCTAGCAGTAAAGCTAATAGAATTTTAGTGAATTTATAGATATATTGATTACATGACAAAAGATATAATTATCTCTCCAAATAAATTACTAGTTAGGCCTCACTTGGAATACTATGTACAGTTTTTGTTTTATTATTTATGAAATAATATCAATTTACTGAAAAAGCTTATGAGGGAGGCTACTAGGTTAAGACCTCTAATTTTCTTTTGAAAACAAAAAGGGGTAAGAAATGATCTTACTGAAATTTATAAGATTATCCAAAGGGCCAATAGGATTAAGGTCTCTGATTTGGTTTTGATAAGATACTAGGATGATGTGTCACAAGTTTAATTAAAACTAAGTTCAAGTTAAAATACTTGTATAATTTTCTAACACTCTAATTGGCTTATGGAATGAGTTGTTGTCAGTAGTAGTAAAAGCCAGCACTTTACAAGAAATCAATGATTTCCTGATAAAATATAGGGTAACTGCAATTGTCTCAATCAGATGACAAGAAATAAAGGGGGGGGGGAGGAATGTGAAACCTTGTCCTACAACAGGCCTCTGCTCATATTGCAATTATCAGTCAGTTTTTATGAGCTAATTACCTCATTTAAATTTTACAAGTTTACACTGGTAAACAGAGGGATGGTGGGCTTGCTGTTGGTGCATCACTTTTCTGTTTCCACATCTGATTTACTCCAATGACACAGTGTGAATCTTGAGATTATACATTCTGTTCATCAGTATAAATTTTCACTTTTATGGAAAATGGGTGTACCAGAAATCTTAAAATTTAAATGATCATATGCTATAGTCTCTTGTTGTTCATATGTTATGTAAACAGTAAAGAAATATTTTTTAAAGCTTATTTTATCAATATTAAGCATTTGTATTTGATCATCGATTTACTGACTTCATATTCACGTTTTATCTTTACCTTAGTCAATATTGTAGCTCTCAAACTTGTGGTAACTTTTGCTACAACCATTATATTTATGATTTATAATTATATTAAATTGTAGGCCTACCCTAACACAGTAACAGACAAAATATTAATGGCAAATTATAAAAATTAATATTCTTAATATCTTACTAACTAAAGAAAACGTAACTAAAGTCGTTAATTTTGAATTTTCAAATCAAGGCATGCAAAGTAAGTGCACACCACTTTAAAACGGGGATTGGAAGATCAAAAAGTATCTTCAAACGTTACAGATATGCTATGCTACATCATACTGTTAGTGTTAGCACAATATTAATATTGAAATGGCAAGCCTTTCGAATTAGAGCTTAGACATGTTTTATCAGTTATATTTCTTCGGCTTTGTTTTCAATTCTCCTCTACAGATATATTTTGATCTTAAAACATGCGTGCTCGTTAAGAGTAAAAAAAAAAAATTAAGATAAAATAATAAACTTTGGTCACTTAGATGGACTTCGTTCAAAGCATCATTACTCTCAATAGGAAGCAACTCAATGAAAATGAAATAGCAGTGAGTAATGAAAAATTTAAGGTATGTCCTCACAGGTGTTGGCCGGTCCACTTAGCACATAATATTAATATTAAGTATCCAAATTTTTATCACACCCTTATTAGGGCACTTTTGTTTGCACACGTAAATGATAAAGAGGAAAGGAAAGAGAGAACGCGATTTCCAATAATACAATCTACAGTAATCTAAGTATATTACGAATAGTTATACTTATAGTCGTAGTACTTACATAGTTATAATGACAACAGACAGTTCAAGTCAAGCGATTTGATTTGAAAATGTTTATTTTTACTGTATCTTACCCTACTTAAATTATAATTAATTTACTCAAATATAAATTGTGAATTTCTTCCAATACAATTACTAACAGTTTCTCACCATATTCCATTCAAACATCCACATTATTTATATATATATATATATAATAATTAAATTAATAATTTTTTGTTGTATTTCAAAACTTGTAGTGCACACTGGAGAGATATACAAATTTTGAACCTTTAAATTCCAGATAATTATCACGGTTAGTATATACAAAACGGCCTGGCATGGCCAGGTGGTTAGGGCACTCGACTCGCAATCTGAGAGTCGCGGGTTCGAATCCCCGTCACACCAAACATGTTCGACCTTTCAGCCGTGGGGGCGTTATAATGTGACGGTCAATCCCACTATTCGTTGGTAAAAGATTAGCCCAAGAGTTGGCGGTGGGTGGTGATGACTAGCTGCCTTCCCTCTAGTCTTACACTGCTAAATTAGGGACGGCTAGCACAAATAGCCCTCGTGTAGCTTTGCGCGAAATTCAAAACAAACAAACAAGTTACCAGACAATCTAAAATATTTTGTAGTATTGTTTTCTATAGGGCACTTTGTGATGAGCAAAATGAAGAAATAGTACACAAGCGTCTTCTTGTGGATATATTGGATAGCTGCATTGGAGAAATAAGTGAGCGATTTGGAGAGAGAAACTACAAACTTGTTACATCTCTTTCGAAATTGTGACAACAAAATGAGGCTTTTCGAAACCCAGCTGAGCTAATTGGGTTAGATACAACATCGTCATTATTCGCAATGGATTGTGCTGTTGCAAAAAATTTTATCCAGAAAGAATCGACTCAGTCACTCAGAAAGGCGTAGGGAATATTTGTATCCATTACTCAGTGTATTTTCTTATTTTTATCATACATACGTTGAATCAGTCACATTCGGTGACACTGCCAACACTGCGGTTTGTGAAGCGTCATTTTCTACACTGACACGAATCTTAACACCATACAGGCGTTCAATGACACACTGTCTCAAAAGAAGTTTACTGCTTTTAGCCTTTTTTGTACGACTATATAAGATCTGTGAACTTTGACGAAGTGGTGCAGCATTTGCACTAGTAACATTTGTACTAGTACTAGTAACTTCATCAAGAACTTCAACGTTCCCCTTCTCAAAACTGAGTAGAGTTTCTTCTTCGATGG